AAGATCGTGCAATCTCCAATCCAAGAAAGAATCTAGCTTCACCAAGATCTTTTATCTTGAACTCTGAACGAAGAAGATTCTGAAGATCCAATAAAGCTGCAGGGTTGTTGCTTGCAATCAAGATATCATCAACATACACCAATACCGCAAGGAAGAATGTCTTATTCGTCTTCACAAAGAGTGTATTATCTGCTGGTGATTGAACAAAGTTAGCACCAAGCAAGACAGAAGAGAAGCGTTTGTACCATTGTCTTGAGGCTTGTTTAAGCCCATATAATGACTTCCGGAGTCGACAAACCGGATTAGGAGGCAACACAGTACCAGGAGGAGGAGTATACCCTTGAGGCAAACGCATATAGATCTCCTCATCCAACTCACCATGCAAAAAAGCATTAGACACATCCATCTGATTCAAAGACCACCCTTTAGCAGCAGCCAAACTAATCAAAAGCTTCACACTTGTCAGCTTAGCAACCTGAGAGAAAGTATCAACATAATCAAGACCCTCCTGCTGTGTAAAACCCTGAGCAACAAGACGAGACTTTGGCCTTTCAATCGTTCCATCGGCATTCTACCTCAAGGTATGCACCCACTTACAACCAACCACGTTCTTTCCAGGAGGCAAACTCTCAATATCCCAAGTCCCATTCGCATCAAGAGCCTCAAACTCCGCATTCACGGAACCACGCCATATCTCAGATGCCATGGCTTGCTTAAAGGTTTTGGGTTCAGTTTCAAGAGTATAGGCAAGAACAGAAGATTGAAAAAGAGGGTGAAGATTATCATAGCATAAAACTGAAGAAATAGGGTAAGGTGTTTTCTGTTCAGCAGGAATAGAAGTAGTAGAAAAAGAGCTAAAAGGAAGTAAAGCACAATGATACTCAGAAAGATAGCTAGGGGGCTTAATCGTGCGTTTAGGTCTAACAATTCCCACAGAACCAACACCAGTACCAACAACACTATTATCGATACCAGATGCCACACCATTACTACTAGATGAAGGTATAATAGGTCTATCAGATTCAGAAGGTAAAGGATGATCACAATCAGTATGTATGTGCTCTGGTAATGGAAAAATATCAACAAAATGCAATGGAACATGTAAAGGCAAGATCGTATTTGGAAACATGTCAGCAGCTTTTGAAATCAAGTCACTAGTCTTAAATGGAAACTCTGTTTCATGAAAGATAACATTACGTGAAACGGAAACAGAACGAGATTCCAAATCCAAGACTTTAAAACCTTTATAACCAGCTGGATAGCCAAGAAAAACACACGGTTTTGCACGAGGAGAAAACTTATTTCTATCTTTTAACAAAGTTGATGCATAGCACAAAGAACCAAAAACTTTCAACATGCAATAGTCAGTTTTCTTACCTAGCAACAACACAACAGGTGATTTGAAATCAAGCAACGGTGAAGGCAAACGGTTGATCAAAAACACAGAGGTCAATATGCAATCACTCTAATAAGCTAAAGGCACCTGAGACTGAAAAGGTAAAGCACGAGCCACATTAAGCAAATGTTGATGTTTTCGTTCAACTACAGAGTTTTGCTGAGGTGTGTAAGCACATGAGTAATAATGTAACATACCATGTCCTCTTATCAGTTCAGGAAAAGCTAGTTCTGGAGCGTTATCAGATCGTATTGCCTTGACAGTTACATTATATTGAGTTGAAACAAGTTTAAGAAATGCAGGAAAAGAAACAGAAACATCACTTTTATTTCTTAACATGTAAACCCAAGTCATCCTAGTACAATCATCCACTAAGGTAAAGAAATATCGAAAACCTTCAACAGACTCTGTACTAAAAGGACCCCAGATATCTATGTGAACCAAATCAAATGGTTTAGAAGACAAATTGTTTTGAGAAACAAAAGCTAATCTTTTCTGTTTAGCTAATGGACAAATAGAACAATGTGACTTTGTTGGAGAAGAAACTGACTTGAAACTTGGTAAATCCCGTAAAAGCTTTTGCAAAACACCAGTAGAAGGATGTCCTAAACGAAGATGCCACACATGCTCATCAATGATCACAGAACCACAAAAGAACGTTGCAGGAGTTAATGTTGAGAGGGACGGCTGATCAAGAATATAGAGATTGTGATAAAGACTACTCCTCCCAATCATCAATCCCTGTGTAAGTTCCTGTAACAAACAAACATTTGCAAAGAAATGTGCTGAGCAAAAAGAATTTTTTAAAAGATTACTCACACTGATGAGATTAAACTGTAAATCAGGAACATGTAAAACATTGTATAAAACCAATGAATCAGTTAGACGAATGCAACCCGTATGCATAATAGGAACAGTAGTAGCATTAGGTAATGTAACAGTAACATTAGACACTGGTGTGAGTTCTGTAAACAAAGCTAGATCAGAACAAACATGACTAGATACCCCACTATCTATAATCCAAGCATCACGTGGAAGGAAAGATTGCAAAGTGGAAAGGCAATGATCTTGAAAAGTAAGGGCAGTATGTTGGTATTTTAGACTAGTTGAAGGAAATGGAAAATTACCAGATGAGGAAGCAATAGCCATAGCACCATGTTCTGTGATCGTAGCTCGTGAAGTTGGAACAAGTGAGTCTTGAGTACGAACCTGAGAGTTAAACTGAGATATCAAGTGTTGAATCTGCTGAGGAGTATATTCCTGAAGAATCGTGTTAGAACCACCACTCGTTACACATGGAATACCAGGTTGTGAATAAGAAACTCCAAGATTCGAATGAACATTAGCAATAGCATGAGCCTGATGAGAAGCAGTAGGCACAGTCATATGTGTCTGCTGTTGAGGAACAGGACGAGACTGCTGGGGTTGCTGTTGTTGCTGTGGATTCTTCTGAGATGATTGGTTTCTCGATCCATAACCCGAACCATTAGTCTTATAACCCGGAGGAAAACCAATCAGCTTGAAACACTTATGTACCGTATGACCACTCTTCCCACAATGAGTACAAACAGGACGCTGTGCCAGACGAAGTGTATTATAAGCTGCAATATAGGCAGTTTGTTCCATCATAGCCAAAGAAGGATCAACAAGAGGTGCAGTAGTCTGAAATGCAACCGTATCAACCTTCGTAGATGGCTTAAGGGACCTATGTCTCTAATCTTGAGTAACAATGTTAAAAGCCTCTTCAATAGTTGGTATAGGCTTTAACATAAGGATATGACGTCTCGACTGCTCATACGACTCATTCAACCCCATGAGAAACTTAGTAACCCTACTTCTCTGCTGCAACTTCTCGCAAAGGTTAGCAGCATCACATTCACAACGACCACAAGTGCATACATGAAGTTCTACATAGTTCTTATGCTCTTCCCAAAGCGTAATCAACTCAGTGTAGTAAGTAGTGACATCCAAAGATCCTTGCTCTATCTTACTAAGCCTCTGTTCAAGATCATAAACCCTAGGAGCATCGTCTTGTTTAAAACGAGATATCAGATTATTCCAAATCCCTTCAGCAGTGGAAATGAATAACAAACTCTGACCTATCTTCTTACCAACCGAGTTCATCAACCAAGTCGCTACAATGTCATTACACCTAGACCACACGCCATAATCTCTATGAGTAAGAGCAGGACGAGGAATCGTACCATCAATGAAGCCGAGTTTGTTACGAACGTTCAACGCCATACGAACGGAACGCCGCCAAGAATGAAACTCTGACGATTGAGTCAATCGATCGGAAACAAGAACGAGTCCTGGATGATCAGTCTGATGCAAGTAGTAAGGATTCTCATACTGATCAGCCTGAAGACGATTAGAATCTGGAGATATCGTCGCGCGAGAAGGAATCAAATCAGTTGTAGGATTCACCATCGCAAAAACGAACAAGAAAACCAAAGATTCAAAATCCAGAAAGACGAAACAATGAAAAGAAAAGAGATCGCTCGCAATAGGTCAATCAAAGAGAAAGAAACGAGAAAAGAAAGAGAAAACAGCTCAAAATCCCTCGGAAAAGCTCAACAATGGCGAGAATCATCAAGAACATGAATCGAGAAATCTGCATCAATGGAAGACTCATGATGCGATTCGAAGAAGCGGAAGATCACAGAGAATGCTCTGATACCATATTAACATTCGATTCAAGCTCGATTGTAACTGGAGAAGAAGATGATTCAGTTACACGAGAGAGAAGAGAAGATGAATGTAAAAGTTTGTTATTAATCTTCAAGTCACTTTACAAGCTGAAAATACAGCTATATATATACCACACGGTATTTACAAGTAAACCGGGAATCTACTTAACCAACATTGATAACTTAATTCTTAAAATTTCTAAATAAGGATTTTTTCTTAGCGAATCCTTGCATTAATTATAGACCCCAAACACGTGGCGGTTCGCGAATTGATTAGTATTTTTTTTATTAGTTGAAAAAAAAAATAAAAAAAAAATCAAAAACTAAGAACTTCTATGGATAACACCATTACTGATGCTCTTATTTGAATACACCATTTACACGTGCTAAGAAGGGTGGTCATAATTATAATTTATCTTGTCAACCATTAAATTAAGAGAAAGTTTAATAACTCTTTCTGAAGTAGAAGTTTAAAGAAGCCACAACAGCACCAGGTTTTTGCTTTATTGTTTTGAATGACTCGTCTAAGACCTACGGAGTGGTGGAGAGTGCGCTGAATAATAGCGTATCAATAATCACGAAAGTATGACTAGTTAGTATACAAATTGTGATGAAAGACGAATCCAGTTTTTTCTGCTTATTGCTAATTCAGTTTAAAATCAGTAAGTGTGGTTTTCTTGGTTTAAAGATTAATTTATATAACAATGGTATGTAGTGAAGAATATGGAGTTTAAAGAAAAATATACTACATGAATCCATATTAACAAAATTAAGGGATTAAAAAGGAATGGAAAAAGAGAAGAATATTTACAGCAAATACAAGTAAATACTAATGATACAATACAAAGAAAAAATCTATAACTCTGTTCTTCGTAATTTCTTAATCTTGGTTCTTGATTCTTTTCCAACATTTTCTATTTAATTTCATGCAAGTCATCCCATGAGTAGTTATTGTTATTATTGTTGTTTTGTTCGTCGTTTGCCGCGGTTGTTGTGGCCGTAGAATCAGCCGGGAATAGTAAGGCAAATTGATGAACATCAAAAACAAAATCGTCGTCAGTGACAACAGATGATTTTTCATTCGAGATGTCTCCGCTATTACTTCCCCAGTCAAGAATCTTAGATATGTCCTTTTGCATCGTGTTCATCTGAAGAGACTCTTCTTCCTTTGATTTCAAATCTGTGTTTGAGTCAAAAAACATTTAAAATTTTACCCAAAGAAAAGTGTTGTTTAAATTTGTAGTGTTTTGAGCAATTTAGTTTTTGTAAGGAACATGTGTTTTCAGAAGAGTCAAGCTGTCCAAAATTAATCGAGAAGAAGTAATCATTGTTGTTATGGTTATTTGGAGGAGAAGCTGTGAGTTGTCTCCGTTTTGGAGGTCGGGCTCCGATGTCTAGAGCCTCGGCATCTTTAAGGACATCCTCTACAAGGCTGCAGCTAGTACTTCGTCTGTGAAGCCTCGTACTGTTTTGTTTCTCATTTTTTATTAAATTGTTAGCACTTTTAAAGGCATCTGACTGAGGAGTTTGGTGTGAAGAGAGCTCTTGTTGCATGGAGTAAGCTGTGTTCGTATGAAAGGAGGTGGAAGATAAATTAGGAGTGTAGTAGGAGTGAAGAAAGCTTGGGGAAGAAGTTGATGTAGGGTAGGAAGAAGGGTTTAAAGAGGAGAGAGGAGAGGAAGAGTAGTTGTTATTAGTGTTATTGTAAGTCGCGGTTTGAGCTGTTGGGGAAGAGTAAGGTACTGTTAGAAAAGAACTGTCAGAGTCTCTTGAAACGGGGGAAAACGATGCAGTTGAAACGCAGTTGATGCAATTGAGAGAAGTGTTAGCATTGTTGTAATGTTTGGTAAGGAGCGATGAAGGCAGTTCGAGGAGAGGTGGGGTTCTAGGGAAAGTGAAATGATCGTTACTGTTATTGTTATTTATTTGGGAGAAAAGAGGAAGCGTCGGGTATTGGTTGTTATGAGGGGAAGATAAAGGAGAGGTAAAAGGCGGTGTGGTTGGAGTGTGGGGGCTTAAAAGACAGTGGACATTGGCGGTTGATGCGTTTGTGGTATGGAAAGTGAAAGATGATGATGGATTTACGTTTACTGGTGTTGGAGATGGAAGAGGGGATGATGATGGTGTACTTTGTTGTGAAGAATGTGGTTGAAAATACATTTGCTGATGATGATGGTTATGTTGATGATGATGATGATGATGATGATGTGGATGAAGTTTGATGGTTAGGGATGATATCAAGAGGATAAAGAGGATTTCCTTGGCGTTGAAAGCGTTTCAACCTTGTATTCCAATAGTTTTTAATTTCGTTATTTGTTCTTCCCGGTAACTATTTAATAAAAATTGTGAAAAGATTAAATTAATGTATTATCGTATAACACAGATAATAACAACTAGTTTTTGTACCTGAGCGGCCATGCGAGCCCATTTGTTACCAAACTGAGCATGAAGCTGGATAATGAGACGTTATTCATCGCCTGTGAAAGAACCTTTCTTGAGATTAGGTTGAAGATGATTGGCCCAACGGAGACGACAGCTTTTACCGCAACGAGCCTAGCCTGTGTTTTTCTGAAGGGAGTTCCAGTTACCTTCACCGTTCTCTCTAACGTAAGCAGCAAGTATCTCATCTTCCGCTGCCGTCCATGGCCCTTTCTTCAGTACTACTCCTCCATCTGATATATGATCGGTTGATTCGCCGTCCTTCCCTTCTCCTCCTCCTCCGTACATAATCATAGCTTTCACTATGTTCCAAATTCAGCTGAAGAGAAAGAACAAAAAAAAACAGTTTGTAATTATTTGTTTGTAATGATGGTGGGATTCAGTGACGGTTTTTGGAATAGTGATTTTCACTCCTAAGTTTGGCCGTCGTAAAAAAAAAATTTCCAGGTCATCTTTTATTTACTGTTCCTTCAGTAAAACGGAAAAGGAACAAGAAGAAGAAAAATGTAACTCTGGTAATTTAGGCTGTAAAATTACAACCGAAAAACAAGAAATAAAAGATATATAAACAAAGAAGAAGAAGAGAGATGAGATTGACAGTGTTTTTTCCTCTGGACACAACACAGGTCCTTTAAGAGAACACCCAAGATTAGTTGTTTCTTCACTTCTCACTTACTATTTTAAGCAAATGACATTTGCACACGTTTATCTTTATATGATTCATCATCAATAATTATCTCACATAACAGTTAACGTGATCTGTCTTTCTAATACATAAATAGAAAACAAATCAGGACGGGATCATTATACGATAACATGTTGGTTATTTGGGTTGTAACCCATAAATTTGTGAATTATATACTTGGATAATGATTGAATCGCGCACGAGGTCACCTTCCTTAAAGAGTATTTCGATCCTATTCCAAGCTTTTGGGTTACACGAAATCCCTTTGTAGGATAAGACAATCAAAGTCACATTCTTGTTCTAGGCTAAGATACAAGAATAACAAATAGAGTTTTAATGCTTATATGTGTTTCTTCAAAGATCTTTGATGATCTTTAAACAATAAATCTATTTCTCTCTTACTTTCTTACTAACTATTAGTTTTTGATTTTTCTATGTCGTTTGTCAATAATGCCTACATCTCTTTATATAAAGAATGAAAGATTGCAACCAATGGTTACAATAGTTAATTCAAAAGATGCAATGGTTAGTACTAATAGTTGCAATTGTTAATGAAGAGTTGCAATTGTTAATACCAACAATTGCAATGGTTAGTAAAGAGTTACAATAGTTAATCATCAAGGGTTACAATCACTAATATGGTTAATCATCAAAGGTTGCAAATATTAATATGGTTATCACCAAAGGTTGCAATCATTAATATGGTTATTACCAAAGGTTGTAATCATCAATAGTTGCAAGCTTTTATTCATGTAGTTGCAATTATTCACATAAACAATTGCAATGGTTCATTGCACCCTTTCACTTAAACCCTTTCACTTAAATANTAATATGGTTAATCATCAAAGGTTGCAAATATTAATATGGTTATCACCAAAGGTTGCAATCATTAATATGGTTATTACCAAAGGTTGTAATCATCAATAGTTGCAAGCTTTTATTCATGTAGTTGCAATTATTCACATAAACAATTGCAATGGTTCATTGCACCCTTTCACTTAAACCCTTTCACTTAAATATATAACATAACATAATTAGCATTTCAAATGAATCTCTTTTTCTATTATACCATTGTAAATTTGAATGGATTACCACAGTGATAAACATGATGATCAGGTTCTAACCATCAAACTCCAGGAGTTTTTTAGTGTAATAGTTTTTACTCTTGTGCAATTAGTCTATCTTGAAAGCTTTTGATTGCAACACAATAATCAGATCTGCCATTGATTTGTGGAGAATTATTTTGTTCTCAATCCTACTTCGTAAATGTGGAAAATAAGGTATGAGAATTTAACAATAACAATATTTACATACTGATTCGATTTTATTGTATCTCTAACTTTAAAAAAAAAACATAGAAATTCATTAAACGATTAAACATTGGATTTCAACTAAGTATTTAGAGCTATGGCGCCAAATTGGGTTATTGGGAATCGATACAAGCTCTAGAATATTGTTTTGCAAGAGTACCAGGTGAATGGACCCTGATGTTCAAATCTGGCAGGGGATTGAGATTCTTGTGTCGCTCCTTTAATTGGACATGTAGAGTAAAATCTCCTTGCCATGGGGGTTGGGCATAAAATCATGTGAAACCAAACATTGGTGCGGCCACTTGACGGAAATCGATTGGAGGTTGGTCGTTCAAAAATGGTTGGGGTCCTCCATTAATCATCCCATGTTTTGATGATGATACATCTGATGGAGCATTGGTTTTGTGCTGTCTACTCTTCTATACTTTTTATTTGAAGTTTCTCATTAACTGTGCTTGTTCCCATTTCTTTGACTATGTTGTCTCATGAGTTGTTGTTGTGAACTTTTTGGTAATGCTCTTTTCCGTAATGGTATCAGAAGATATTTCACGCATTATGTTGTTCACACCGGTCGAGACTGCCATTATTCAATCCACCAGGGGGCGTAGTCCCGTTATATAGTGCTTGTAGTGTTCAGAATCTGTAGGAGTTATGTTCCTCTCATGTCACTTGATGATATGTATGATGCTCATGTGCTAGTTTACAAAGCTTTGGTTTTCTGAAATACAAGCAGAACCAGAATTGGTTTGTTCTGCTTGTGGTAGTAAATTCCGTTCTACTTGCTGAGAAATCCTATTTTGACTTTTTGAGGCTTAGCAAAAGCTACCGAAGAAAGTTTTTGATGCTGGTTCGTAGTTCTTACGTTGCCTCTTTTAATATTAAGTTTTGATTTTATAGTTACTAGAAGCAATTTTATTAGTTTATGTTCAATTTCTAAAATAAAACTTAACATACAAATTTTTTTTTATATATTTAAAATTAGGTTTTTTGCACCATATGCAGAAATAAGAGTTTTAAAAAGTAAATTATATTTAAAATTAATTTTATTTTATATTATTAATTTTATTTTAACTATTCTATATGTAAAAAATTAAGATAAAATAAATAAATTTTATATAAATTTATATTTAATAATATATATGTATATATATTTAAAATTATATTCTAGGAAATGTTTTTATCTTTTTCTTTTAGTTAGAATATATTAAATCATTAAGAGAAAAACTTTTTAGGTATATAATTATCAAAATATAAAGTTGAATAATATTTCAAAAATTTCTAGATTTCATAAATAAACTAACGGTATTGAGATTAGAAAATTATATAATTATAAAATAGATTGAAAATATTTCAAAAATTGTAAATATTATTATATTAGTATTTCTACTATTATATTTTTATTTTTAGATTAATGATGATTTTATGAGATATTATCATATTTTAAAAACTTACTGAAAATATAATTAATATTAAATGTGAATGTCTGTGTCACAATTTATTCCAAGCCATGTCATCAGTATTACTGTACATATCATCATTTTTTAGTAAAATTGATTGTGGTGATGATACATGTCAAAATCACTTTACAAATAATGTATAAGGGATGTTCTATCACAATGTTCATTTTACCATTTAAAATAAAAAAATAATAGAAAGAGCAAAATTAATCCAAAGACACTAATAAAGATTTAGGTTCAAGAAATATTTGTTTCTGTTAAAGCCTTTACTTTATGGAAAAAAACTAGTGGTATGCCGGTGCTACGCGCCGGGTTAGTATATTTTATTCTTTAAAGAATTTTAAATTAATTTATGGTTTTAGTAACTAAAATATTTTCAAATATGTAAAGATGCAAATATGTTGAAAGAGATTGATAATTTTTTTTCAGCTTCTTTTGGTTGCAGATGATGATGCCAGTATGGATGCTTCAGAAACACATAACATTTTAGATCCCTGATGAGTTTGAATCAGTGTAATATACCCATAGAGTGTTATGGTCCCAAAAACATATACTTGAATTAATAAAAATCTTTAGAAGAAACATAGACCATTTTGAAAGTGAGCATAACCTATACAAAATATCAAACAGAGAAGCTAAACTCAAATCTCTAGAGAAAGCAGAGAAACATTCTAGAGTTGTTTCATGAACAAAACCTCTACATGAATATGTAAGGGCAATAGAAAACCATAGTAGTATGCATGTGTCATGAAAAATTGGTGGAGATATCTTATTTAGTTATTTAAGTAATTGGAAACTGGAATTGAGTTGGATATGTTTTACTTCAGATATATATCTTATTATCGCTCTTACCCCAATTTTTATTTATTTAAGGGACTGTTAAAGAACTTATCACATATAATTACGTAACCTCTGTTAGACACTCTTACCATTTTGGTGAAGGTTTGATATAGAACGTTAACCTTGCCAAAATCAAAGGTTATGAATGTTTATTTTTGGTGTTGCTCAAGGTAATATAGTAGTTTATGTTATCTTCTCTATTTTTTTTTTTTTTTTATATGTTGTATGGGTTTGGAAAATTGCGAAGTCAGTACTGGTGACTATCCCTTTGCTTGAAGAATTATTATGGGAAGCGCATAATTTACGTTGTCATATGTAAGTGGGTTCGAGTCGTGTTTCAGTGGTTTTGTGGCCTGAGATATGCCGCCACAGTAGGTCTTTGCTGTAATGTGGTCGGTGTAGGCAAGAATAGTTTGAGACATAGCTAACATATCTTTTGGGATGATGGACTTGTTTGGACGTTGGGAGGAGAAAGTTATGTTCGTGGCGTTCTTTATTTTTAAATGTGCATTGGGATAGAGATTATGAGTTTTCATTAAGCTGAAACCAAACGTCATGTTTTCTTTGAACATAAGATGTGATTTATTTTTCTATTTAAGTTGACGATTTTCATAGACTCTTCTGTTTTAATGGGGACCTTGAAGACAATTTGGTCGCAGTAATAGTATGATGTCATGGTGAGTAAACCTACAGGTAATTAAAAGATGAAGTCATATGTCTGTGTATCGTAGTATGTATTTCTGTACATGTAGATTTACGTTTCACCTTTGGAGGATCGAAAGATGGTGATAAAGGTTATGGAAGTTGTATGTATAGCTATGTTTCTAGAAGATGATATAATGGGGATATGATGTCAAAACCAAATGTTTTGTTGTAAAGTAATTGAGGGTCGAGAAGCTCATCAAAAGTTACTCGCATAGAACACGTTGAAACATGAACGTTCATGTCATCTAACTAACAAAATGGTTAGATAGATCATAGACGTAACTAAATATAGAAAGTAAACAAAGAAAAGACTGGACAGAGATGCCGAGACCACAAGTTAAGACATGGCCGTAATTGGGTAAGAACCGGTAATGAAACATATTCTAGAAGTTTTAGGCTCAAGTGCTTCTTTGTTCTTTGTTTCTTCTTATCCCTGTCATCTTCTTCCTCTTCAGCATCCCAAAAAACCGGCGCATATGAAGCTTGTACATAACTGCAGAAAAAATTAAAGTATATATAAGCACAAAAGCGATACATATTATTTAAACCCCCACAACAAAAGAGAGCTTTTCAAGTTACCAGTCATCAGAAGCACTGCAATTCCGATTGAAGTATGACTCGGCACGAGCTGAGCCTTTATGGATTGTCCACACTAACTCCGCGTACATGGTAAGAACATTTCCCTCGTTAGAATTCACGAAGAACAGCTCTCCCACAATATTCCTCTGGTTTCAAGTCATTTTCGAACCTGCTTCAAATCAAAACTCAAATCAACACTCACTTTGGTAACTCATATATCACAATCCAATCGGAAGTTTCAAACTTTCAGATATAGAAATAGAGAAGAGGGAAGAGAAGAAAGTGTACCTCTTTCGCGAACTTGGCTTGCAAAGCGTAAGCTAAGAGAGATGATGTGAAGACACATATTCTTATTACATACTCGGACATTTTTGTTTAACTACCTAAATAACAATCTCTGAATCACAAACTCAATGATTGGAATCAAATTGCTTCTATTTTTTTTAATGGGAACACTTACCTGATAAAAAGAAGGGTATATTTAATCTATGATCTGAATTTCTACATATTCTCGATTTCCCTGTTAAGATCAAACACCAATATATGTCAAATTCAGTTGACGGAAATATAAATCTAAAGCAATTGCTGTTAGAACAGTCCCAAATCCTATAATGCCTTGAATCGAATTAGACAAAACCAATTTAAAAGATTATATGAATGGATTATCAAGAACAATACATCAAAGTGCTAAACCAAAACACAGGTATGTTAAACAGGTGAAGGATTAAAAAAATAGATACTTGTTCATTAGGAGTGTTACGTCAAAGCCGCTTAACGCTCAAACCCTAGACGACAGAGAAAGAGTTGTCCCAAAAAAAAAAAAACTATAGAGAAAGAGTAGTCTAAGTGCGCCTCCAAACTTGTAAAACCCAACTTGTCCATGATAAAATTTTGAAAATCCACGAAGACCCAATATTAAAGATGTGACACGTGTATTTTTTTCCCACAAGGAATGAAAAAAATCAACTTTATTGTTAAAGATATAATAGAAGCAAAAGAAGAAATAATTTAAGAGAAAATACCCATAATGACTCAAATCAATTGAGAAAATACTAAACTAACTCTTCTAAAATTCTAATTACAAGAATAACTCAAGGGATTAACTAATTTACCAAAAACTCCATCCTCATAAACTGAAAAACATGAATTAGCCAATTAATAATTAAAAAACAAAGTAAAACGAAATTTAAAAAAAAATATTAAAAAAGAGATAGGTTAGTTTTGTCAGGGTTTGGTCTTCATCTTCTTCACTCCACAAAAGCTCATCTCTTTTTCTCAGAACAAAAACCGACAGACAAAAGCTTCTTCTCCGACAACCACTCCACTGTCTCCGACGACCACTGTCTCCGACGACCACTCCACCGGAAATTGTCCTCGTTTCTGTTTTCCACAACCGAGAAGATCTCGTCCCTGTCATTGTCGACGAGTAATAACTCGATCTCACCTCCGTGGTCCGCCTATGTCTTCGTCGATTAAGGTATCCTACCTCTTGATTTCACTTTTACATAGATTTATTGATTGCATATTAAATTTAAAACCCCTAATTCCCAAATCAAAATCCCTAAATCTCAATTCGAAATCCGTAGTTCCCAAATTTGAATTTCGAATTGGGGTTTCTCTCTTTCTCTATTGGGATATTTGGAAAAAAATACCTAATTCACAATTCGAAAAAACCCTCATTCCCAATTTCAAAAATTCCTAATTCCAAATTTGAAAAAAAATTAATTCCCAATTGAAAATTTACCCGTAGTTTCAAATTTAAAAAAAACATATTCGCAATTCGAAAAAATTAAGGCCCGAGCCTGTTCAATTTACGTTTTCATTTTTTGTTTCAGCAAGATGAGTTTATGTTTTTTTTGTTAATATCACTGTGTGAACTTGTTGTAGGATGGCTTCATCTTCGGACATTAGAAAGTATCCTCCGCGCTTATACGAGGCTGGGAAAACACCAATTCAAAGCAGAAGCATGAATCATAGCTGTCACTTGTCGAATGTGGCGATGGTTAAAGAAGCCGTTGGTGTAGACGCTTGGGATGTGTTGAAGGATGCTGTTGGAGTGATCATCAGGCTGATGGATTTGGATTACAGTTGGTCTGAAAAAATATGTTCACTACTTTCTCACCAATCAACTATCAGTGAAGAAGAATGAGATATGGTCTTTGCTTGAAAAAAGTCTGATAAGGTTTTCTTTGTATGAGTTTGAAGATATCACGGGCCTCAATTGTGAACCTTTCGACATAAATGATAGCTGGAATGTTGATCATAAAGAGTTTTGGGTGGAGATGAAAGTTCCTCAAGCTGAAGGACCGAATCTTCTTGAATTACAAGCTCTCTTTCCGATATGGAGAAACTGGTCCTTAGAGAAGCTCATAGGGGTGATGGATATAGAAGCTTTCAATCGCTTTCCGTGGGGTCGTGTTGCTTTTAAAAGCCTTGTTGACTCCATCAAAGTAGTGTCCTACGTGGGGAAAGATAGCTATACAGTTCATGGTTGTGTTCATGCCTTAGTCATATGGATATACGAGTCTGTCCCTGGATTTGGAGAGTTGTATGGGCATCAGATAGAGGGAGCTGAGATTCCTCTTCTGTCATGGCATGGTTCTCGGCAGCGTGTCAACTTCGATGATTTCATAGCACTAGAAAATAAAAAACATGAGAAGATAAATACATTATTTTTCCTCTATCAGTAATCTGAGTTACATGATTTTAATTTTTTTTGTTATATTGAACTGCAGATCCGTGTTAGGCATATGATTAATAGGCCGATGGACCATAGGTATCCCGTGTGGGTAACGAAGAACCGGATACCGATTTGGATTACATGATAGTTGACATCCTCAACGGTCAACTAAATGAGAGGTTTTGGGATGGACTGGCGTGTACCGAGGGCGTGAAAAGAAAATATCAGGCCAGGGCACCTGCTGTTCCAGATACAGTGGATGAGAGTCCTTCTACTAAGAGAAAAAAGGACAAACAACCTATTGATGGATCTGAAGCTTCAGAAATGGTATGTGCCAATTTGTTTTGTGAAAGTAGTGGTAGAATATAGTTGTTGACATAATTTTTTCGTCTTTGTTTACTGTAGGTTACAACTCACAGCGTCATACTTGGGTTAGTTGAGTCAATTAAAGGCCTCACAACAAAAATAGAAAGCATCGATGTTAGTGTAGCTGACGTATCTGACAAGGTTATTAAAGCAATAGAAGCTACAATAGATGCTAGAGTGGATGCTAGCTAGAGTGGAAGTACAGCAGGCTGAATTAAAGAAGAATATTGCAAGATTGGAGGAAGAAGTAAATTTTCTTAAAACCAAGGTTGTTGTGGCATCTCCTGATGTGAATATTTCTGCTGGTGTGGCCAACTCTAAGGCGTATGAGGATGATGGTGGTAGTAGCAACGAGTTTGTATGATTTATTTCAATCTTTGTATTCTATTTTTTTGGCTTTTTTAACAAATTCCTATTGTCTATTATAAAACAGTCATGGATCCTTCAGAAGAAGATCGGTTCAAAAGATGGATTACCAATACAATGTGTTGTGAAGAAGGAGAAAATAGATAAGAAGACCATCAAGAAGGACGATCTTAAGAACAAGGAAGTGAAAAAGAAAGGAAGGACAACTCAAATACCACTTAAAAAGGTGAAACTAGAGAAGGCGTTTTAGATCCCACAACTAAATGATGAATCGATTTCGACAGAAGGTTGGGAAACAACTCAGATGTGGGAGAAGAGTGTACAGTGTAGGGCTGTGTTGGACAAGCTTGCGGCAACTTACTTGGATCCTTCCCAGAAACGCAAAACTCAGTTGACGCAGACTCAGGTTTACCCATATGTAGGGAATTCGACAGTGAAGCGTATAATAACCGGTGAAGCTTATGACCCATTAGCTAAGGTGGAAGCTGACAAATTAGTGAGAGTTTTGGACTTCATCAAGGCTGATTTGTAAGTTTCTATTCTTCCATCATTTTTGAGATTGTCTTTTATCAGCTTTTCTTCTTTCTAGGGAAAAAGAGGAGCCTGGTTATGGAGATGCAACCGCATGGTTTTTTTTGAAGTTGATTATACCTAGAGATGACTGGCCTAAAGACAACTACGACTGGTTGCGAGCCTACGTAAGTTTATATCCTGTTTTATATGGCAGATTATTAACATACAGAGTTTGCTGGTTTTGTATTTTTTTCCAATGTGTAGCACATTGCAGCAGCAACACTTATGTTTCACAGACGCTCCATGCAAGACAAGTCTCTATATTCTTCTTCTCGGATTGCCTTTCTGTCTCGCTGGTTTATAACCTTCTGGGTGAATGACTACAAGAAGTGCGACGAGAACATGAATGAGTTGTCAGAAATATATAGCAAGGCTTTTAATGGACAACACCCGGCTGATTTTGTCACCGGTAAGAAGTGGGTAATAGATGTTGACAGCCTTCTCTTTTGCCACCATGTTAACGGAGACCATTGGGTTGCTATACACATCGATCTCATTAAGGGGGTAATATTCCTAATTATTAGTTGATTTTTAAATTGAAGTAGCGAATGCAGAAAATAAATGCCAAGAAAGTTAGTAGTAATATAGGTTCAAATTATAAAATCATCAAGAAAGTAACTATTCGATAAACCAAATAAAATAATATGTTGTAAATTGATATAAAATCATTTACCGTGTAAGAGTTGGCTCTAATTGTTTATTAGGTGTTTTGCTCGCATACGCAGATATAATTATTTTATAACTATTTATTAGTATATGAATTATCAGATCGATTATAAAGGTAAAACTGCCAAAAATTATGAAAAAGATAATTTACCATCAAATTTTTTTATAACATTTGTCAAAATGTTTTATAAATTTATTCTAATGATTTGAGCTTCACTGATCAGATCTAAATGAAGTGAACCAACACTTATCGAGCACACTTTTATTCATAGTCAAATTTTCTAACAAAACACATTCAAGTAAAATCCAAAGACACTAATAAAACTTTAGGTTCAAGAAATATTTTTTTTCTGTTACAGCCATTACTTTATGAAAAAAATACAAAGGAAGCAAAAGAAAAATGAATTTAATGTGTTTTTAAATGTTGATATATTCCTAATTATTAGTTGATTTTTAAACTGAAGTAGCGAATGCAGAAAATAAATGCCAAGAAATTTAGTAGTAATATAGATTCAAATTATAAAATCATCAAGAAAGTGCCTTTTTGATAAACCAAATAAAATAATATTTTTTAAATTGATATAAAATCATCTACTGTGTAAGAGTTGGCTGTAATTGTTTATTAGGTGTTTTGCTCGCATGCGCAGATATAATTATTTATAACTATTTATTAGTATATGAATTATCAGACCGATTATAAAGGTAAAACTGCCAAAATTATGAAAAAGATAATTTTACCATCTAATTTTTTTATTACATTTGTCAAAATGTTTTATAAATTTATTCTAATGATTTGAGCTTCACTGATCAGATATAAATGAAGTGAACCAACACTTATCGAGCACACTTTTATTCATAGTCAAATTTTCTAACAAAACACATTCAACTAAAATCCAAAGACACTAATAAAACTTTAGGTTCAAGAAATATATTTTTTTTCTGTTACAGCCATTACTTTATGAAAAAATACAAAGGAAGCAAAAATGAATTTAATGTGTTTTTAAATTTTGATATATTCCTAATTATTAGTTGATTTTTAAATTGAAGTAGCGAATGCAGAAAATAAATGCCAAGAAATTTAGTAGTAATATAGGTTCAAATTATAAAATCATCAAGAAAGTGCCTTTTTGATAAACCAAAATAAAATAATATTTTGTAAATTGATATAAAATCATCTACTGTGTAAGAGTTGGCTGTAATTGTTTATTAGGTGTTTTGCTCGCATACGTAGACATAATTATTACATAACTATTTATTAGTATATGAATTATCAGATCGATTATAAAGGTAAAACTGTCAAAAATTACGAAAAGATAATTTTACCATCAAATTTTTTTATTACATTTGTCAAAATGTTTCATAAATTTATTCTAATAATTTGAGCTTCACTGATCAGATATAAATGACGTGAACCAACGCTTATCGAGCACATGTTTTATTCGTAGTCAAATTTTCTAACAAAACACATTCAACTAAAATTAGCCAGTTGTCATATCAGTTCTTATACTAAACTGATAATTCATTTTTTGTCAATATAATTAATTACTTTTAAACAATATACAATATTTTTTAGTTATATTGTCTAACAATATCACATTATTATATTTTTGCACTACTTTCCTATCAAAACCGCACTATTTTTCTATCAATACCGCATTTGTTCCACCAAACGCATGAACGCTATTACACTATACCATACTTTAATTCTGCCTATTCATATTACCCAATCCGGCGTTACCAATTCGAACTCATAGTGATAGTCAAAGTTGGTTTGAACCTACTAATATAAAAAGACAAAATAGATATTTTTTATAGATAAGCATTATCTAATACATCTCTTGTTTATTTATTTTTATATTATTTACTATTTCATTAAACCTAATTATCAAAAAACTAAATGGAATAAAAATTATGACGAGAGAAAAAATACAGTAATGTAATATATTCCTGAGAATAATATACATAGATTTTTCTTTATAGGTTACACAAACGACACATTCTGATACTGCATGCATGTTTCAGAATATTGTAGTGAAAAGAGTCTTTGTAAACAAATTTACCAGATTGCCACATGTATTCATATACAGTAACATTTATAAATTAATACTCGATCAATTAATAATTTCTATAAATTAATAAATTTTACTGGTCCTAACTTGGGCCGATGTAAAATATGATGCAAAATCGATAAAATAATAAAATATAATATTTTAAACTTCCATGTAAATACATAGTCCCCTTAAAATCATAAATTAATAATCTATCTATATATTTGTTTTTTTATTTTTTTTTTATATATAAGTACAAACTAAACATTATATTGTTTTTTATATTCACAATGAAAATACCTCTATTTTTATTAATATGTCAATATACTTTGATAATTTAGTGAAATTATATCGAAAACCACATAACAATGCTATGAAACATAAAAACATAGACCAAATAAGATAATAAAACACTATAAAAATCAAATTTCTAAAATTTATATATGGTAAAATAAAATATTGTCTTAATTTATCAATAAAAATAGAAAAAAAATAGAACATTTAAAAAATGAAACTTTTGTAAATTAATATCTCTATAATTTAAGAAATTTTTAAAGTTCCAATATTATTAATTTATAGAGGTTTTACTATAGTATAATGGAATAGTTTATGTTTGTATAGCTAATATCGTTAACTGCATTTGTTATATTTTCGCAGAGTTACCATATGTTACTGCTGTACTCATGATCAAACTGCATACAACATGCAAACTTCATTTTTTCACCCACATATTAGAGAGTGCTTTTGGATTGAAGAACATCTTTATGTATTTGATGTCTTTTCCAACTTTAACCTTGAAAAGTTAGTGCATTCATCCATGTATGATACGTGCTTGAAGTGTCAATGTCTATGGTGAATGACAATATATTATATTTTGCTTATCATTTACTATTTTTACTTTTCAATCTAACTCTATTTTGCATTCATATACAGAATTAGGCTATGTTGTTACCACCAAAAATAATTTTAAATACAATTTTAAAATTGTGATCCCCATGTTCATCCCATATCAGTTCTATCAGCATTGGTATGTTTTATTTAATAAAG